GAGAGAGAGAGAGAGAGAGAGAGAGAGAGAGAGAGAGAGAGAGAGAGAGAGAGAGAGAGAGAGAGAGAGAGAGAAGAGGGTTGGGAGTGTGAAATGTAATAATACTGGGATCATGTCGTTGTGAGAGAAGTGAATTTTGCTAATTTGAAGGGTAATTAGGTAATTAGCGATTCGTTCTGGGGCAGTTGTAGGGGAAATGAAATGTGGCTGCTGTTGGCTGTCGAAGTAAAAAAATGGAGGCAGGGATGGGGGAAGGAAAAATAGCAATAGAGAGAGAGCGAAACCAATAAGGAAAATTGAAATTGACAGTTTGGATTATTGAAATAGGAGAAGGAATTCGAATACTGATAGACAAGAAAAGTATGTGACTGAGCATATACGACTGTGGGGAGGAGGAGTGAGTTGTAGATTTTTTATTTTTTTTTGGGAGGGGGGGGGGTGAGTCGTTCACCATCTGTAGATCGAAGTATTTGTATAGAGACGGGTAGATAGACGAGAGAGTGTGTTTTTTTTTTCCATTTTCTCGTTCTTTGCCGGTGAAATTCCTCTTCTGAATCAGCAGAGGTAAATCTGATCCGTCCATTGCAATCTATAAAGGGGGTCCCAGGAGAGAGAGGGGAGCTCCTTTTTTTTTTTTTTTTTTACTACCGCTCTTTGCGTTCTAACCGGATTTGTTTGCAGATTGGCGAGAGATTCTTTTTTTTTATTTTTATTTTTATTGGGGAATACGAGAGATTCTCTCTTCCCACCTACGGGCCCGCTTATAGATTTTTTTTTTTTTTGTTGCTTTTTTTATTCCCCCGTTTTCCGCTTTCCTTCAATTCTACTGCTGTATCTTTATCTGTGTGTGTGCGTGTGTGTGTGTGTGTGTGTGTGTGTGTGTGTGTATTTGTGTGTTTGTGTGTGTGTGTTTGGTTTTTAGTCTGTGTATGTGTTTTGTGGTGCAGAGCTTTAGGAATGCTTCTGCACTCTCGATTCTTTTTTTCGTTGTTCCTCCCACCTGACTCGCCGCTTTTCTCATTCGGTTAAGGGTTTTTTTTTTTTTTTTTTCCCCGTTGGGAATCTCATGCGGAACCGATTACAAACGATTGCCAAGTGTTGATTTTTTTTTGCGGGGGTCGTTGATGAGGCACAGGGTGTGTGCAAAAAAGTCGAAACCTAGCTTCCGCCCTTCTACTCCACCTCCCCGCTCCCCTTTTTCTCTGTCCATTTTATACCTTTGCTTTTCACCTTTAGCCTTTCTTCTACCCTTGCTTTTCACCTCTACCCTTCCTTCTGCCCGTGCTTTTCACCTCTACCCTTTCTTCTACCTTTTACCTCTACCCTTCCTTCTACCCTTTCTTTTCATCTCTACCCTTCGTTCTACCCTTCCTTCTCCCCTTGCTTTTTACCTCTACCCTTCCTCTTACCTTTGCTTTTCACCTCTACCCTTCCTCTTACCTTTGCTTTTCACCTCTACCGTTCTCTTCTACCCTTGCTTTTCACCTCTACCCTTCTCTTCTACCCTTGCTTTTCACCTCTACCTTTTCTTCTACCCTTTCTTTTCACCTCTACCCTTCCTTCTCCCCTTGTTTATCGCTTCTGCCCTTCCTTCTCCCCTTGCTTTTTACCTCTACCCTTCCTCTTTCTCCTTGCTTTTCACCTCTACCCTTGCTTTTCACCTCCACCCTTCTTTCTACCTTTGCTTTTCACTTCTACCCTGGTAACATTCCTCTTTTCACCTCAACTTTTCCTTTGTTTTCATCTCTACCCTTCCTGCTAACCGTCCTTTTCACCTGTGCTTTTCCTTCTAATCTCTTTCTTTCACCTCTGTTCTTCCTAACAAGTCATAACGTTCCTTTTCCCCCCTCTCGCCTTTCTTCAGCCTACCCTTTCTTCGAACATCAACTTTTTTAACCTCTACCCTTTCTTTTCCTGTCTTCCCGTTTTGTCCTTGTTTTCGTTCTTCTTTCGTCTGCACCCTTCCCTTGTCCTTCTTTCATCTCTACCCTTCCATTTTGTCCTCCTTTCATCTCTACCCTTCCAGTTTGTCCTTCTTTCATCTCTACCCTTACATTTTGTCGTCCTCCTTTCATCTCTACCCTTCCATTTTGTCCTTCTTCTTTCATCTCCACCCTTCCATTTTGTCCTTCTTTCATCTCTACCCTTCCATTTTGTCCTTCTTTCATCTCTACCCTTCCATTTTGTCCTGTTTTCATCTCTACCCT